ACTTGAGACGTGGTCATTGTCGTCTAGACCAGTTAGGTGAAAAATTAAAGCTTCCGCCTTTTGTTGGGTACTTCGACAAAATTTAAGCAAAGAGGACTCTTTATACTTTTTTTAATTCTATCTAGCTTTCAATGGACTTTGCCATCATCATCAGGAGCTGCAATTACAATGATAACAGTAGCAACAAAAGTGTAAAATGAATTTAAATTCAATCAACTTACAGTAGTATGTGAGGATGTTGCTAATTGTTGTTTTCGTATAGGATGAGGGAAACGTCCAGTAACATGGTGAGAGCTGGATACATGGTACAGTGGTTAAAATTATATAAAATATGACAAGACAAGTTAAAGACAGATTAAAAATTATTTAGAAAACATTAGAGCATTACGTCGTGAAGCCACTTGATGATTGCACAAAATGGTGGTCATGGAATAATGAGTGAGATGAACCTTTGACAGAAGGCCGAAGGTTGTCAATGTCTGTGTTAAAAGATGGAACGAATTGTGGGCGTGTGCCAAACGTTGCCAAATCACTTCAGATGATGTGATTTTCAAAATGTTATGTAAGAAATTGTTAAACCGACCAGAGGCAGTTGAATAAACTATATTTTAATTGATGGGAATTTTAAATTAATAATTATTAATAAATCGTGAGAAGAGAATTATTAGATTTTGAGTGGATTGAAGTTTGTTGGTGGAATCGGTCAAAACACAGATTATATTTATGGTTGTGAAAAGTCGAAATTTGGGGAGATATGTAAATTCTCCAATTTTTCGCAGTTTAGCAAATATGAGTAAATGTTTTGACCGATTCCACCAACAAACGGCATGCCGTCCATATGTGAGGTCTTAAGTCAAATGATTCACGAACCCGTTGTACTACATTAACAAAGGCACGAGGGGTTGGTTGCACTCGATTGGGAAACCGATCCGCATAAACATGTGCCATTTTTTATTTCGTTTGAGCCACGCAACAGACACCACTATCCACTACCGACTGACACTGACTGTATACAACTGAATGAAATAATTGTAAAAACATCGTTCCAAATTCTTTCGCTTTTTTGTTTCCGATGCGATGAACCGATAAGGCGAATTATATCCGTTGTCGCCAAACACGAGCACATAATATTATTATTGAGACAGGGCGGTACTCAAACTTCCAAAGGGCTATAACTTTGTTACTTTAATTTTACCAGAAAAATGGTAAAGGAAAAAAACATTTCTTTTGATCAGATCTACTCACTGTTAAAATAAATGACTCAACTTCGAAGTATATGAAAGACTTGTCTTTGGGGATATCGACAAATTAGGCAAAGTGTACCCTTCTGACTTGCAAAGACTCATGCTTTCGACAGGCTATGCTGTCATCTTCAGGAGCTAAAGATAAAATTGAAAATAGTAAATAGCAAAACATGCTCAATTAATTAGAATTTAATTACTTACTTCGTCAATGCATTTGTCGATATCCCAAAAGACAAGTCTTTCATTTAGCTAGTTATTATGACAATAATAATGAATCATATACGTATATGCAGTGCTTTTCTTTAATGTCCTCCTCCCCTTTGATTTTTTGAACGGATCAATTCAAAAAATTGAAACTCGAGGTAATGAAATTGATGCGTGGATACCATATTTTAGAGTAAAATTGACAGATGAAAATGTCAAGATGGCCGCTTGGCGACATCTTGGAAAAAAACGGGGGTCTTGTGGCGCATCATTTTGAAAGAATCTACGAAATGTCAAGAAAAACACGAAATGTCACTTTTCAAGATACGTAATAGCCGTGCCGTAGTGAAGTTGAGAATTTAGGCGCTAAAGAATGGAAAAATCACGCTGTTTGTTCTCTTGAAACCCAAGCACAGGACTAAATACCTGGTCTTCCCGGATGATCTACTGGGATCAAGAGATCAGACGTATGGTCATTCATGCAGTGATGTCGCATTTAAAAGTGACATTATTTATTTGGAATCTGGATAATTAGATCAAGAAATGATTTTCTCCGTATTATTTGATGAGCTGTTCTATCAATTCGACAGGTGGGAGACTTGGACGTTAAAGCGATAGAAGTCCTGATCAGAGGAAGACTCTACCCAAAAAACCTCTTTCATTTCATATTCATAATTCATTTTATCACATCTAATTTATCATTTTATTCCTGTGAAAGGTTGGGAAATCTCGAAACTGGAGATACTACAGACCAAAATGTGTGAATTGACCTAAACATGCCTCAGTCCAGAAGTTGCGAGATACCCTGTAAAAGTGGGCTCAACATTGTCTTTCATTCTGCCAAATAACATGAGTTGTGATTTGCTTGCATTAATCTGTAGACCATGATTTTCCGAAAATACAACTAATCTTTCAATATCTCGATTAATAATGGCCAATGCATCACGTTTCTCGTTAGGATTGAAAGAAAAATAAAGTCGAGTATCGTCAGCATACAAATGTACCTGACAACTTCGGAGACATTGGGAAAGGTTTGACGTATAAATACTAAAAATCAGAGGTCCTAAAATGGAGCCTTGTGGAATACCCGACGGGATGACATCTTTGGAGGACATACCTTTATCTGTTTCTACATATTGTGTTCCGTTAGTTAACTAGTGGCAGATAAGCGTGCTAGCAGATTCGGAAAACCTTATACAGGGTTATCCAAATTAAGTGTCCACCATTAGTAACTTTGTTATTAGTGAAAATACAAAGTTGTTTGAATTAGCAAAGTAGTAGCATTTTTAACGCTGGTAAAAATGAGAAATAAAAAAAAACAATTGAGAGTCGTTATTTTGATTTTTTTCAGTAAAATAACATTTTTTTAAATGGAAACCCCTGTATATTATATTTTTTTCTGTTAAAGCATCAAATTTTAAACAAAAAAGTTCATAATGACTTTTCCGCTAAAGTCAAAAATAAAGTCAAAACAACGATAAATATTTTTAATTATTTGCAGTATTATAATATTAAGACGGCTATGAAAACAACATGGCGTTCGCGATTTGACAGCATTAACATAAGCGACAAATTGTTAAACTGGACATACTCGCAACTAGAAGGCTTTGGAAAACAATGATAAAATCAAATAATGTCAAACATTAGTGTAAATACTTGTTTATAAGCTTTATTGTGTCATGTCATTAATTTAAAGAAAAATGTTCTCCCATGAAGAAAAGTGTGATATGTTAGAATGCTATTTAGTGTGCAGAAAATCCTCCTTGAGAGCAAGAGAATACTACAGTGAATTATATCCCGCTCGCATTCAACCGTATGAACATTATTTTCTGAGACTTTATCGAAAATTTAGGGGCAACGAAAATGTTTTTGCTAAAACAAGGGCAAAAAAAGAATTCATAATAAGCGAGGCCACGGAAATTGCAGTTATTGGATATTTTGAAGCTTATCGTGAGAATTCAATAGCAGATATTCTCAAGGACTCTAATTTCAGTTATGGTACTGTTCAAAGGATTTTAAAAAAATACAAATTTATTCCGTATAAGTACCGACCAGTTCAAACGCTTTTGGCAGGGGATCCAGAGAGAAGACTTGTTTTTTGCCATTGGTATCTTAGCTTCTGTCGCCAAAATGTAAATAACTTTCGTTACCTTTTATGGACAGATGAATCAAATTTTTCAAATTCTGGAATGTTTAATAGAAAAAACCACCATTATTGGTCAAGAGAAAATCTTTTGTTAGTACATCCAAGAGGCCCACAAGTCCGTTTCAGTTTCAACGTTTGGTGCGGTATAATTGGTTCAAAAATTGTTGGCCCGTTCTTTTATGAGGGAACCCTAACTGGTGAAAGATATGTGGAATTTATGTCAGAAATTCTGACTAATTTCTTAGACGAATTGGATCTTATAAGTAGACATCATCTGCATTTTCAGCAAGATGACGCACCTGCCCACAACTCCAGAGGTACTTATCATTTTCTAAGTACTACTTTTAATGACCAGTGGATAGGAACAAATGGCCCAATACAGTGGCCTCCCAGATCACCAGGTCTAAACCCACTTGATTACTTCTTGTGGGGTTACTTAAAGAACCAAATTTACAAGCGAAGGTACGATAACCTTGACACGTTAAAGACTGCAGTTAGGGAAAAGATAACCCAGATAGATGGTAGGACCATACTTAAGACAGTTCGAGCAGTTGAAAAACGTGCCCAAAAATGTATTGAAGAACAAGGTGGTGTTTTCGAGCATCTTCTTTAAAAAAAATTGTTATTGTATTTTGTAAGATTATAAGTTGATGTTGAAAATAAAGTTTGTCGATACAATTTAATTGTTTCAGATTGGAGGCCATAACTTCAACAATTTGTAACCTAGGAGAAAAGTTATTGTAAGCTTTTTTGTTTAAAATTTGATGCTTTAACAGAAAAAAATATAATATACAGGGGTTTCCATTTAAAAAAATGTTATTTTACTGAAAAAAATCAAAATAACGACTCTCAATTGTTTTTTTTATCTCTCATTTTTACCAGCGTTAAAAATGCTACTAGTTTGCTAATTCAAACAACTTTGTATTTTCACTAATAACAAAGTTACTAATGGTGGACACTTAATTTGGATAACCCTGTATAGTGTAAAATACCAAACAGCATTTCGTGATTTAGTTTATCAAATGCCTTGGAGTAGTCCAAGAGCACGAGAGCGGTGGTTTTTCCGGAATCTGTTGCTTTGAAGATGTCGTCAGTTATATTTAACAGTGCAGTTTCGCAGCTGAATCCTTTCCTAAATCCCGATTGATGGTCTGGTAACAAATTGTTCTCATAAGCATAAACACTCAAAATGTTTCGAGCAAGGATTTGTTGAGTGGTTGGCAGCACTGTGTACTGACAGATAATCCATGAATTTGCCCATTGATGTACGAGTAATTACCGCAAAACATAATCAGGATGACTTTGAAGAAATCCATCTGAATAAATTCGTATAAATATAAGAAAACGCGAAAAATATGTCCGTCCTTGTAGACAAATCACCTGACTAAATATTCCATTTGTTCCAGACCTGACGGAAAAACAGCAGCAACAGCAGACGGCGCTCTGGGAGCTTATCAAGACGGAAGTTGCCTATATCAAAACTTTGAAAGTAGTCACGGATGTAAGTAGATTCCGCTTGAGCCGACCAGCTTACTTCCTAGTTTATAATTCATTGTGCATCGCGCGACGTAACTTGGCGCAACGCGGAGTTCTTGCATAGGATCACCAGTCGGATTGTTAGGAAAAGCTGCGGCGTGCAATACAATGAATTTTAGAACTTTGCTAATATAGAGGATATGTGACATACACATTTTTAATCAACATACACGGTGTCCCATTTTAATGTCTCTAACCTCCTCACCTAAATATTGTCCAACCTCGAACAAAAGAGAAGAAATCATGATTTTGTCGATGGAACTAAATAGAGCGTAAAAACTTAATTCATGGATAGCGTTGTTGTATTAGCTAACTGGTCTTGTTAAAAATTGAAATTGTTCCTATTTTAGCAATTTTCCGGGTAATAAATCACAATTAACAATGAAATCTGAAGAAATGTACTAAAATACATACAGTAATGAACAAAAGTATATAGATAAATATAAATATTTACCTAAATACCTTTTTAAAACGAATTCATACTTAATTGCTCCATAAACAAATGCGTTATTAGTAGAAAAACTAAATTCCTTGTTTTTACATTATCTGCAATGAACACAATACAAGTTTGAATATAAGCACTTTTTTATGAGGGACAAAAATATGTAGACAAATTCTTTTCAACATTACTTTAATACAGTTTCGTGTCAGAAGAGGATTAGTTTGTGTTCATCAAGTATTGTGGAATAAATTGAGTTATTTTGAGACCATGCCGCGTGGTCCAGAAATTTCTTTCGATGTGAAAACTAAGATCATTGAGTTATACAAAGATGGTCAACGTCTAGTCGACATTGCCAAAAATTTGAAGCTGAAGAGTAAAGCAGTTTGGACAATATTGAACAAATATAAACAAAAAGGTATCTTGACAGCCTCTAAGAGAAGTGGTCGGCCTAGAAAACTAAATGCTAGATCAGTTAGATTAATAAAAGTAATTTCGTCCAATAATCCGTTTAAAACGCCCAAGACAAATAAAAGCCGAAATCGAGACAAAAGGAATTGTCAGTGTTTCTACGAAAACTATAAGTAGAAGATTAAATGATTTAAAGTTATTTACACGTCGCCCGAGTGAGAAGCCGCTAATCTCGAGGAAAAACCGTAAGGACCGATTACAATTTGCACGGTTGCATCTTGATTGGAGCATCTATGACTGGAAGAGGGTATGTTCCAGTGACGAATCCAAGTTCAATATGTTTGGATCAGATGGTGTTCATTACGTTAGATTGAACCCCAAGTACACTTTGCCCACTGTCAAACATGGAGGCGGGTCTGTTATGGTTTGGGGGTGCTTTTCGGGACCTTTACATAGAATAGAAGACATTATGCCCTTAAGATCAATCTTCCAGCAAGATAATGACCCGAAGCACACTTCAAATCTCGCAAGGAACTTCTTTCTGGATGAAACAAATACCAGTTCTCAAATGGCCTTCACAGTCTCCCGATATAAACCCTATTGAAAATCTAAGGGAATACTTAGATAAGCTAATACGAGATAAAAATGATTCAAACAATGATGAACTTTTTGCCGTTTTAGAGCAAAAGAGGAGTCAGGTTGATGAATCTTATATCAAGAAACTTCTACAATCTATGCCGAGGCGATGCTAGGCGGTGATTGATAATAATGGTTATGCTACAAAATATTAACACAAACATGGTTGGTTTTCTATAGTTCAATGAACTTTGCTTCTTTTTTCTATAATTATTGTTTTGCTTTGTCTTTATATTTTTGTCCTTCATAGTTCCATTTTTTTCAATTAATTTTTTATTGAAGGGAGTCTAATGAATTTATTTATGTATAAGTGAGTATTATGCTATAACGAATTATGTATACAGGTTGGTGTATTAATAAAACAAGTTAAAAAAGAAATACACCACAATATTAATTTGTCTATATACTTTTGTCCATTACTGTATGTGCATTGAGTTTTGGAGGTAATGAACTTAAGATATCCTACTCTAAGAATGTCTACGAAATTTGAAAAATCGGTGAATATGCGGTTTTTCCAATTTTTTGAGAATTTTCCAAACAAGAAATCATTTTAACAACTAAACTGAAAAGAACGTAATAAATGCACATTACAATAGATTACTAGGCAGGCCAACTATTCGTTTCCTAATCAAAAGCGTGAAAAATCGAAGAAAATTAGCGGAACTGCGGTTTTTCCTACTTTCGCAATTTTCCGGGAAGCATATCAAAACTTTAAATTGCCAACAATTAAGAAAAGTCGATAAAAATGCGTTTTCCGATTGTTCACGATTTCCTGAGCAAAAATTCATGATTTTGTTAGTGGATCTGAAAAGAACACAACGAGTTGCTGATATACAGTGGTTTTTCAAATTTGCGAAAATCTCATCATATAACCTAGAATTTAAAAAAATAATTGTTTTGGAGTTAATGAACTTATGATATCCTACTCTAAGAATGTCTACGAACTTTGAAAAATCGATGAATATGCGGTTTTTCCAATTTTTGGAGAATTTTCCAAACAAGAAATCATTTTAACAACGAAACGGAACAGAACGTAATAAATGCACATTACTATAGATTACTAGGTAGGCCAACTATTCGTTTTCTGATCAAAAGCGTGAAAAATCGAAGAAAATTAGCGAAAATGCGGTTTTTCATACTTTCGCAATTTTTCGGGAAGCAAATCAAAATTTTAAATTGCCAAAAATTAAGAAAAGTTGATAAAAGTGCGTTTTCCGATTGTTCACGATATTCTGAGCAAAAATTCATGATTTTGTTAGTGGATCTGAAAAGAACACAACGAGTTGCTGATATACAGTGGCTTTTCAAATTTGCGAAAATCTCATCATATAACCTAGAATTTAAAAAAATAATTGTTTTGGAGTTAATGAACTTATGATATCCTACTCTAAGAATGTCTACGAACTTTGAAAAATCGGTGAATATGCGGTTTTTCCAATTTTTGGAGAATGTTCCAAACAAGAAATCATTTTAACAACGAAACTGAAAAAAACGTAATAAATGCACATTACAATAGATTACTAGGTAGGCCAACTATTCGTTTCCTAATCAAAAGCGTGAAAAATCGAAGAAAATTAGCGAAACTGCGGTTTTTCCTACTTTCGCAATTTTCCGGGAAGCATATCAAAACTTTAAATTGCCAACAATTAAGAAAAGTCGATAAAAATGCGTTTTCCGATTGTTCACGATTTCCTGAGCAAAAATTCATGATTTTGTTAGTGGATCTGAAAAGAACACAACGAGTTGCTGATATACAGTGGCTTTTCAAATTTGCGAAAATCTCATCATATAACCTACAATTTAAAAAAATAATTATTTTGGAGTTAATGAACTTATGATATCCTACTCTTAGAATATCTACGAACTTTGAAAAATCGGTGAATATGAGGTTTTTCCAATTTTTGGAGAATTTTCCAAACAAGAAATCATTTTAACAACGAAACTGAAAAGAGCGTAATAAATGCACATTCCAATAGATTACTAGGTAGGCCAACTATTCGTTTCCTGATCAAAAGCGTCGAAAATCGAAGAAAATTAGCGAAACTGCGGTTTTTCCTACTTTCGCAATTTTCCGGGAAGCACATCAAAACTTTAAATTGCCAACAATTAAGAAAAGTCGATAAAAATGCGTTTTCCGATTGTTCACGATTTCCTGAGCAAAAATTCATGATTTTGTTAGTGGATCTGAAAAGAACACAACGAGTTGCTGATATACAGTGGCTTTTCAAATTTGCGAAAATCTCATCATATAACCTAGAATTTAAAAAAATAATTGCTTTGGAGTTAATGAACTTATGATATCCTACTCTGAGAATGTCTACGAACTTTGAAAAATCGGTGAATATGCGGTTTTTCCAATTTTTGGAGAATGATCCAAACAAGATATCATTTTAACAACGAAACTGAAAAAAACGTAATAAGTGCACATTACAATAGATTACTAGGTAGGCCAACTATTCGTTTCCTAATCAAAAGCGTGAAAAATCGAAGAAAATTAGCGAAACTGCGGTTTTTCCTACTTTCGCAATTTTCCGGGAAGCACATCAAAACTTTAAATTGCCAACAATTAAGAAAAGTCGATAAAAATGCGTTTTCCGATTGTTCACGATTTCCTGAGCAAAAATTCATGATTTTGTTAGTGGATCTAAAAAGAACACAACGAGTTGCTGATATACAGTGGCTTTTCAAATTTGCGAAAATCTCATCATATAACCTACAATTTAAAAAAATAATTGTTTTGGAGTTAATGAACTTATGATATCCTTCTCTAAGAATGTCTACGAAATTTGAAAAATCGGTGAATATGCGGTTTTTCCAATTTTTGGAGAATTTTCCAAACAAGAAATCATTTTAACAACGAAACTGAAAAGAACGTAATAAATGCACATTACAATAGATTACTAGGTAGGCCAACTATTCGTTTCTTAATCAAAACCGTGAAAAATCGAATAAAATTAGCGAAAATGCGGTTTTTCCTACTTTCACAATTTTTCGGCAAGCAAATCAAAATTTTAAATTGCCAAAAATTAAGAAAAGTTGATAAAAGTGCGTTTTCCCATTGTTCACGATATTCCGAGCAAAAATTCATGATTTTGTTAGTGACTCTGAACAGAACACAAGAAGCTACTGGCATACAGTGGCTTTTCAAATTTGCGAAAATCTCGTCACATAACCTAGAATTTGAAAAAAGAATTGTTCTCGGAAGTTAAAGTTCCAAAAAACTATAAAAAATCTTGGTTGTGTAGGATATAGCAATATATATAGCATATGCGATTTTTTCAAAATCTTCTGAGAAAAATTGCGGTATTAAAAAATTACACGTTTTAGAGGTTAGGGTCCCATAGGGGCGACCTTTCTAACTGATAACCTGACTAAGGTGATTTGGATCGATCCAGATTCGGGAACTTTTTGGGTCAATATTCATATCTAGTTTTTCATTTCTTGACTTAAAGGATTTTACTATTGTTTAAAACATTCCA